CGTGCATAGTCGAAAGGCTTCTGCAAGCGCCACAACTCCTCAATTGACCGATTACAGGCCGATCTGACAGAACCGTGAAATTGTTCTAAATACAGAGCAGCGAATTCGATGAAAAGGCGCCGCGAGGCGGCGCTGTTCGCGCTTCGCGCGGATATCCGGGCTGCAGATCGTCTAGATCTAAGCACAGTTTTAAACCAATTAACACAATTGTGTTTTAGGAAGTTGCCCATGGGCAGTTCACCATTGACCATGTAATTATATCTACATTTGTGTGGGTGGGGGCAATTCCCATTGGGCTGATGGGCTTGGTGGGGGCTGATCCCATTGCCCTCTTTACACTAGCTAGAGCCCTGGAATGTATGGATTTATACCAGCAGGCACATACCATACCATCATTCACCACCCAAATATATAGTGACATACACTGAGATCGCAAGGCTAAGATTAGGCCACGTCGGTCTGATAAAGTATGTACATCAGTATAGGCATTAGCGACAGTCCGATGTGTGTGGTCTCACACAGTCTCACATCTACTATTCTATGGTTCCAGTGAAAAGGCTGCAAGCGAATTCATCACTAGGACTGCTCACATATAAGTCAACATCACTTACTAGTTTCTTTTCTTCTTCTCTTTAGCTTACAGTTTAATGGTCTGATACAGCAGCACTATTACTTGAAACACAGTTATATAAATGTATCTATACGTTAGCAATGTGGCTCTTACGAGCTTGCATCATGGATGTGTGTAGTGTGTTGATAGGTCTAGACATGCCATCTGTGTGTATTTTTATGGTATTGATAATAGTTGGCGCAACGGCACCACCTGTGACGCCTTATAACACGGAATATATGCATATAAATCCTATAGATAATGTCTATGTAAATATGTAACAGAAGCATTTCAGCATGTGCCCGTTGTTGCCATAATAGCACCCCTGAAGTAATCATGATTCAGAAATGTTCACCACAAGTATTGCTAATTCTATGTGTGATAATTATGTAAATGTTAGAAGCTTGTACTATGTACAACTTGCCGAGGGCAGCCTGTATTTGTGGTAGCAGTATCTCTGCTATACTACCCTGTTGGTGCTGTACATGCCTCTACACTGTTATAAATACGTTACTTGCTGCCATACCAACTGGATACACAGAAGATGGTTCACACGTTCTGGCACACTATATATTTGAAATGACCGTATTACCGTTCATCGCTGAATACCGAATTGTATGCCACAGTAACAACAGTTACACGATCCTATTTTCAGTTTTTCAGTTCCCTGAGTGATTGCTATCTGTTTCTGTGCTTCCCCTTGTTGATCAGTCTCTCTTTCCTCTCTCCTCTCATTTCTCTCTCTCTCCTTACCCTCTCTTTTCTTCTCTCTCACTTCTCCTATATAGTTCTTCAATACTAATAAAGTCGTTCCTCATTTACTACTATAATATTGTCATGGCGCATGAAAAAATTTAATTACAAGTTACGCAGAAGTCAGATGCAGTGGAGAACACATTGACGTTTACATTACATCGTGGCTTTTTCAGTGTTGAGGCTGAAACCATCATTTTCGCCCTTGCTATTATAAAATCCTTGCTGTCGCGTTGCGGCCGACAAGCATTCAGCATGGCTGCACATAAGCCAAACGTTGTGTTTGTGCTTGGAGGACCTGGATCAGGAAAGGGTACGCAATGTGAGAAAATTGTGAAGGTAAGAACTCGAATATTACTTATATTTTGTTACTACATGGCCGCAAATGTTATTTTATGAATTAATATACTAACACCAAGTGATTAATAAGTCAATCACTCCATTGTTTAAAAAATTGCTAATAATGTGTACGGATGTGTTGAATGGAATCTATGACGTGAATGAATATTAAAATATTTATTCCGGCGCTTGTAAGAACTGCTATATCTCTCATTTCGTAAGCTGGATTCCGGAGTTGGTATTTCTGTAATACATTGTTTCTGCTAGTATTGCCACATCATAGGCTATACCTGCGGATGTAATGAGCCACTGGGCACTGGGAGTAATGAATTTGGCCCGATGCTTTAGAAGCAAGCACCCAACAGATTTGTGTCTGTACTGTCATATCTCACGACTGAGCACCTGATTTGCTGCAGGAATTTGGCTACGTTCATCTCTCAGCTGGTGACCTTCTGCGGCAGGAAAGGGCAAAGCCAGGTTCTCTCATTGGAGAAATGATTGAAGGGCATATTAGGAATGGTACCATCGTCCCAGTTGAGGTCACGTGCAGTCTTCTTGACAAGGTATGCGGAGTTTGAATAAATCTTACAATGATACTTTGACATGTATTGCAATTGCATTTTTAGCTCACCTTGACATCGTCAAGCTGAGCTATTTCCATGGGTCGTCGTCCGTCGTACGTCCGTCCGTCCGTCAACATTTGGCTACGGTCAACGATAACTCAGGAACCGTTTGTCCCACATGTTTGAAATTTGGTATAGTTGTTACTGCTATGGGAGAGGTTTGTACGTCCTATTTTGGAGCACGCCAGTCGACGTACTTTCGAGCCACGGCAATTTTTTGGCAAAAATGGGAATTGCCATTAGTCAGTTCAGGTTCAACGGATTTTGCTCATTTTTGGTATGTGAATGAATAAAGGCTAGAGGTTTTGATATTTAAAAAAAAAAATTATGCTAATTAGGTAGGTTTTGGCAATTATATAGCATATTATATAGACACGCAGATAACAGTCTGTGGTGTCACACTCG